GAGAAACAAATCTCAGAAAAATTAAGAAGGCTTCAACCTTGTGCAGGGTCTGGCACATACAAAAATGCAGATCAGGAAGAAAAGAGGATGGGTAAGATTTTTAAAAAAAATATGACTGGCATTTTTCTAAATTGGTGAAAGACATAGCAATACAAATTTTAAAATCCCAGTGATTAAAATGTGCACATGAGAGAGTGTGCACATGTTCATGCACACACACACCGACACCCTAGCCACGACATATTCAAGCTGCTGAAAGTGCTGGAACAGTGAGGGGAGGAGAGGGGGACCACTGTCAATCCAGAATTTTATACCCAGTGAAATAATCCTTCAAAAAGAGCTGGGACTTGACATTTTTAGATAAACAGAAACAATGTTGCCAGCCTATTTGTGCTGTCAGAAACTTTAGCAGTTCAGGCTGACAAGAAATTATACCAGATAGCAATTTGGATGTAAAAGAAGCCATGTGGAACTCCAGAAATGGAAAATGAGGGTGGTGGTGAAGATAGAATTGACTTATGTACTGTAAAGCCACCTTACTATTAAAGTAAAAAGTACCACATAGTATTGTGAGGTTGATGGCGTACATAAGCCAGATGCATCAAGGTTGAGGTTAAAGGCAATTGTACTGTTGCCTGGCCCTTATATGAGGGCATCAAAAAGTCTGCTCCAAAAACCACAGAAACATTTCATAAACAAAAACACCAGCATAAGAAGCTTTTGTTTCACACCCTTGCCTCCAGCTAGGTCTGTACCTATCTAAGCACAATTTCCATATTTGCAATTTCCAAATTCCCTGAAGATTTCTGCTTTCGCCAGTTGGTGCCCCATCTAAACAGCAGTTTTGGCTTCCTCCAGGGCCTTCATTTGGCCGCCTTTTGAGTGTTCTTTGCGTTCAGGGAGTAAAAAGAAGGGGCAGAACCAGAGCTGTAGAGTGAGTGAGGTAAGGTTTCCCAGCTACGTTCCCCTAAGACAGCTCTTGCCACCCTCGCCAAGAATGAGCAGGTTCTTATATTGTGGTGAGAAAAAAATCCCCCAGCATAATTTTCCTGGCCTTTTTCTCAACAATGCAGTTTTATGTTTTCTTAAAACTCCTTCCTAATGAGCCCATGGTCATCCTACACCCTTTGAGAACATCTATCCAAATGAGTCCTTTGGAATCCCCAAGACCAGTCACCATAACTTGTGCTGTATGACCTCTGTGGCTTGCGTTTCACTGGCCCCTCAGAGCCCCGCCGAAGGCATCCTAGCAAGACCAAGACGAGCACACTACTGAGAGCACTTGTTTGTTGGCATGAACCACACAGGGATGGAGGAGGACCCGCAGCAGAACTTCCTGACTTAGTACCCTCATACTCATGCTCCCCCACTTCATATGCACTCCAGGTTTGAAAGCATGTTCTATAATGTCTAGAATAACCACGTTCAGACAAGACACAGAAGCATAGCTAATAGGTGTAGTAAAATAACTAACCTATAAGAAAAGGGACCGAGAAACATAGGACACTTAGCAAAGTGTTATTCCTAACAAAATGATTTACATTCATTTAAATGGCCTAAATAAAAGCCGGAGATTGTCGTGCCAGATTTAAAAACAAACCATACATAATCCAGATGTGACGTGTCTATGATCAATGAACTTTGACTGCAAAGCAAAATAGGTTGAAAGTAAAAGAATGTGCCACCCAGGCGTTTGCAGAGGCAACTAGGGTGTCTGCATAACTATTCACACAAAATGAACCTTCAGGTGGCAAAGCTCTGCGCCAGCAATTCTGGTGCAAAGCCCAGCCACAGATGAGGCTTGTAGAATGTGTGTAAGGGGAGCTCAGATTGAGCATGGGCCAGGGAAGGGACTCCTACAAACTTCCCTGATGCACTGAAGCCTTCAAGTAGTGTCCCCCAACCTCCTCCCTTGTAGCCCATGTTTCTGAAAGGTTTGAATGCACTGCATGCCATCAGATCTACACTGTAACTCAGGCTCAGTGGAAGGCCATAGAAACCACTCTCACTGTTGTAAGCAGATGTGGGGTGCAGAATAGGAGATGGTACCATTGCTGAAAGGGCTAGGGTGTGCCCAGGCTAGGCCCCCCCAGAAAGGACTCCCAGAACACTCCCCAAGAAGTCCTCCAGGGCTCTCGGCTCAGGAGCTGGCTCACCCCAGGACTGAGGCCTAAGATTTTGCCATAGAAATGCTGCTCACCTTCCATGGGGCTCAATAGAAAGAATGGTGCCCCCTTTCCTCAGCCTGTCAGATCGCCCACATTCTACGCGCCTCATCAGTTCACCCGTGAACATTTTAACTGCTGCTCCACCTGAGGTGTACATGGACCAGCCACTGCCACGGGGTCGATTCCAACTCAGCCACTCACCATAGGCCTTCCAAGACAGTACGTCCATGGGAGCAGTTAGCCACATCCTGCAGAACAAAATGCTGGTGGGTTTGCCTCCTGATAGTAGCAGCCCAACACTTATTCCACAGTGCCCTCAAGCTCCTTGTACACTGACTAGTAGTTAATACTTCAAATATTAAGATTAGCTATCTGATGGTAAAATGCAGCCCAGCTTAATATACACATGCGCACATGCTCATGCCAGGCTGGGGACCTTGTAATACCAGCAGAGCATGCAGACGTTTGGGTCTGATCAAGTTGTGCAATAAGCCAGGAGAAATGGGCTTGTACTACAGGGCATGCACTTGGCTGGGAAGTTGAAGAAGAAGCAATTGCCACTTAAAGTGATAAAAAACAGCCGTTGGGATACCCCGGAATCAACAGGCCCTAGGAACCTTTTGTTCTGGTTAAACTGTGTGTGTGGGGGGGGGGGGGGGGGGGGGGGCTAGGCTATCAGTTACCATATGTACTTGTATATAAGCTGAGTTTTTCAGCACATTTTTAATGCAGTTTTGTGGTAAAAGTAGGTGCCCCGGCTGATATTCAGGTGGGCTTATACTCGAGTATTTACGGTATTTGGAGCCTATTCATGCTGATGCTTTTGAAATTTTCACTGAAAGCAGAAAATTGTTTCTTGGGGAGAGAATTGTTTTAAAGGGTAATGGCTACTTAGCCCTGGTAGTACAGTGGTTCAAACCCCCAGCAACTGGGATGGAAGATGCAGTGGCAGTCTGCTTCCTTGGAGACCCAGAAACCATCTGGGACCACTTTCCTCAGCTTTTTCAAGTGGCTGCCCAGTGTGGATCCGGGCAGTGAGTTCAGTCTGATTGCTTTCACCAGCAGGTGTCACCCTCATTGTTTAAAAGTAAAGAAAAGCTATTTAGGCTAAGGAGATTAACCAAAATTGCCAGTTTTCTGGGAGATTTTTATGATTAGCTGTGTTGTTATTAAAGTAGACCCAATGATTTGGTTAATCACAGGTTGGGCTACAAACCGCAAGGTCAGCAGTTCAAACCCAGGAACTCTTCCTCCAAAGAAAGATGAGGCATTCTGCTTCCATAAAGATTTACAGCCTTGGAAACCCACAGGGGCAGTTCAACTGTGTTCTAGATAAGGTCCCCATGAGTCAGAATCGACTCGATCGCATTGGGGTTTGGTGGGGCTTTGAGTTTTGGTGGCACAGTAGTTAGTTAACCTGTGTGATGCTAGCTGAAAGGTCATTGGGCGAGAGACTTGGCAGTCTGGTCCTATAAAGATCACCCATGAAAGCCCGATGGGCGGGGGGAAAAAGAAAGGCCGAGGGGTCAGTTTTACTTGTGTCACTTGGGGTCACTGTGAGCCTCTCACCTCGACGGCACCCACTAGCTGCTATTTTCATGTTCTCTACATTAAACATTGTTTTCGTTGGCCACCTGTAAACAAAGAAAGCTAAAGTCCCCATCGTCTATGTGACAAGGAGGAGGCAGGCAGACTGATGTGCTCCTCCATGTTTGAAGTGTATACTAAGATGGGGGGCCGGTGGTGTTGTTCAGAGCTATTTGTATCTCTGGCCAGGCCCTGTCATTCAGGGCCCACTCTGACTAGACCCAGCAATCAGCGTTGTCTTTTCTTATTTGAGAATTTATGTTCAGGGGGAGAAACAGGGAACCAACTGTGATTGACGTATAACACACTCCCACAGGGGGACGAACAAGAGAAATGTGGGTGAAGGGAGACCCCGGATGGCATAGGATATGAAAAAGATAATAATGTGTAATTTATCGGGTTCACGAGGGCTCACACAGAAAGAAAATGTTTTGAAAATAATGATGGCAACTTATGTACAAATGTGTTGATACAATTGATGAATTGATTGTTATAAGAGCTGGAAGTGCCCCCAATAAAATGATTTATTAATTTAAAAATTTGTTTATGTTCACTACCTTTCACTTACAGACTCTAAAAAGGACAGGCTCCAACCAGAAAAGGTTTCTCAGTCCATAAGAGATCCAGAGGCACCCACTGTCCATTCAGAAAACCTCATTCTTGTTTCTCACTGCTCAGCAGAGTGAGAGGTCTCCTTGCCCTCGGGGTCCTGTGAGAGTCTTTTGTGGGGCCTGTGTGCGCAGGCTTGCCGTCTGTCCATGGGACGCGAAGTTGGTGGGTCCGTGGAGAGTGCCGGGCTGAGAGGGCACCCTATGGCCTAACAACCTGCTGCAGGCTGTCCCTGCCTTCGTCCTTCTCAGCTCTCAGGAAGGCAGATGCCTTTTAGTCCTTTAACTTCTACATCTTCCTGAGGAACCACCTTAACTCCTAGGTCAGGAAGGCAGCGGCCCAGGGCCAGCCTCAAGTGGGAGCCCCTGGGAGTTACAAGTAACCTGGTAGCAGCCAGTGAAGCGCCTTCACTGTGGGACCTGCTCTTATCCAATTCGCTCATCTTCACTGTACAGAGCAGAACCCAAGGCCTGAGAGGGGAGTGATTGGCTCTAGACAGCAGTCCAGTTGTGTTTCTAGGACACATATGGCTTGGACACTTTCTCTGGTTCTTGTCCCATCTCACCTTGGCTATGGAGTGAGTTATAAAGACATGTCACTAAAGTGCTGGGTTTCTTGTCATTTTGACCCCTGTAGTGCCAGAACCTACTAAGACCTGTTCAAGCCAGCCCCAGCCTGCCGGTTCCAGCCCCAGTACTTCCACCAGCACTGTCTCCAACAGCAGCAGCAGCAGCAATGGGAAACGGCCCTCTGCCAGTGGCCAGCAGCCAGCTGCATCCCGTTACCTTCCTCGTGAGGTGCCGCCACGCTTCCGCCAGCAAGAACAGAAGCAGCTACTGAAGAGGGGCCAGCCATTGCCTACAGGAGCTCTGACCAGTGTGAGCCCAACCCAGGGTGCTGGGCCTGCAGCCGTCAGCCCACCCCCCCTCTCTGGAGCCAGCCCGCAGCAGCCCAGCAAGCTCCGCCCAGGTAGGGGCCACTCGGCTAGACTCTCCCCTCACCTGAACAATGCCCAGAAGCAGCTGCAGGCGAGCATATGTTCATGGGTATGCAAAGTTTCCTTCCTGTTGCCTTTAACTCTTGTTTCTCCGTATTCACTGAGACCATTTCCTATCTGTTTCCAGGTGGCATTGCTAGCACCACTCGCCTGAGTCTGTTTCCCTACAGGTACATTGGTGAAGGCAAATGCCTTAGGGCCCTGCAGTGGGGACTTGGAACCCTTTTCTCTGAGTTTGCAAGAGTACCTCTCATGCAAGTGTGCACGCAGGCCAGGAGGACAAGAGGAGCCCTGGATGAGGGCAGCTGCCTCAGCCAGGCCACTGGGTGGCCAGGACTCCGGGCTCCTTTTCTTTGGCTTCCTGACTCAGAATGAGGTGTCAGCTTTTTCTTGGCTCCAAGGAAAATACAGCTCTTGTTCATTTGCATTCCATCTTTCAAAACGTGCACATCTGTTATCTTCCTCCTTCATTCCGTGTAACATCTCTCTGCTGTAGGTTGGCAGGGATTGGGGGAGAGGGCGAAACAGCGTCTCTCCTTTCAGCCGCCATGTTTCTTGTCTAATTGTTTTTTTATTTCAAGAACTTTCACAACGGGCTTTGGTGCTAAAGTAGAAGACATGTTTGCTGGTGGCGGTGAAATGCAGATCTGTAATTACTGAGGGAAAGAAGAGGGCTGCTATGGTAGAGGAATTCAACAGAAACGTGTCAGAAGTCCTGTTAATATCCATTTGATTTCACGTGCTATCACCTCACCTGGGGAGTCGATCTCCCTGACCCAGAAGTGCTTACAGCAGGGTTTTAATTCATCACCTGTCATTCCTTAGGCAGTCTCCTCCAAAGCCTGGCTGGCTTCCTGCCGCCTACACACACAGCCTCAGTCTTGACCTGTCTTGCCCGGTGTTTCTGTCCTAGTTGGGGCTATTTCCATTCTGTTCGTGGACATATCTTGCATTCTTTGCACACATGGGCTCTCTCTCTCACACACGCTCACACACACACACACACACACACACACACAGTTGCTTTTCCCTTTCCCTATCTCCAAGTCACTGTCATCGCTCCACAAGCCATCTCTAAGCATTTCTACCTTCAAGGCTCTTAGTCTACAGGATGCAACATAGCACTTACAGAGTGTAGTGTACCACCTGTAGTTTGCCCCACACTTCTAAAGCGCTGCTCTCCTCCGGGAAGCCCTGTAAAGCCCATTGTATGCCTGGCTGTACCTCCACACAGTAGGCGAAGACCTGGAGCTGGCTGTGCCCCCGCCTAGCTCTGCCACTCCCTGATCTAAAAAGAGAATCTGAGCCCCTCAGGGCCTCCCATCTCTGAACCCCTGACCCCCTCCTATCTGACGCTACAGTTTTCCAAAGAACTGGCAGCGGTTGTCATTAGAGCACAGCACAGGTGGAGCAGGCATCGCAGATCGCACTTCCCGGGGCTCATGGATGCCCTTCACACTGACGGAGCTGTGCGTGTGGGGCTTAAGGGACTTAGAGGTGTGTGACAAGCACACACCCATTTGTGAACCACTGTTAGGATACATCCGTTGGTGTCGTGATTCTTTCTTTGGCAAACTCTTAAAGCCCTAAATCCTGCAACCCAGCTTTCTCGTCGCTGCATCGCTTGTGTGTCTGCTCATCTTCTCAGTTGTCTTGCCCCGTTGTGACATCATCTGCCCACCTGATTCCTCATGGAGCGCTTCCTTGAATCAGCTTCCGTCCAGGGACAGCCCACTGGCACGTTCCAGAAGAGCAGCCAGGTGTCTTGCTGTATGGCAACTTCAGCCCAGCACTGTAGACTGGGAAAGTTGAGCCCTTTTAAACAGGAGTGCGTGGAGCTTCACTCCCTATCAGCAGTATCGCAGGCCTCTACGCTTCAGTCACTTTGAAGAAGGGGGGATGAAGAATACAGCTTGACTTGTGACTGTCTTCCTCTAACTGTAAGGTTAAGTGAATGCTGGGTCAGCAGAGCCCTGATTGGCTTATCCAGGCAGGACAAGGCCCCTAGCTAATTCTTAGGAATTTCACCGCAGAGTATTTGTAGTAGAAAAGGTGGGATTGGGGAGTGATTCAGCGCAACCCTTTAATTCCTGTGTTTTCCTCAATGTGGGTTCTTATCCCACACACACACACACACACACACACCTTACCCTCCAGTCTTAGTGTGCTTTGACAGAGGCTGAAGAAGATTCAAAGGAATTGGTGGAAAGTGAATCACCTAGATCATTGCTTTGAAGAGTTGGTGCCAGCTCATTTGAACGAATGGGCAGTCTGATCTCCATAAAGCTGCGTGTGTGGCACGTTTGCCAGCCTTGTCCACAGGGTGCTAGTGTTTTTCAGTGATGGACAGCTATGGGCCTGGCCGAATAAGCAGATGACTTAGAGTTAAGATCACATATTTGAGCTATGGGGATGCGTTAAGTTTGAAAAGCATCATTGAATAACTACCAGAACATGTAATCGCGTATCTGCCAAACCACTGAGAAGCATGGCCCAGCCTAGCTGACATTTAACCTTCACCACCACCACCCCACCCCCGCAGCCAGTGTTACTCTCGCCTCTGCCAGACATGCATCATTAATGCAGCTAGATAGTAGATTTCTTATTTGGGTTGTAAGTGCAAAATGTCAGATAACAAGGTGGTCGATTAGTGAGGAGGTGGTGGGTATGCTTGAACGTCTGCAGCATAGCCTCAGAAAGACAATCGGGGGGGCCCCCAGCCCCGGCCTCCCACCAAGGCCCAACTCCTCTCAGCACCTCGTGCTGCAGAGGACTCTTCACGGCCAGTCAGCCGTGGCTCTTCTCATCGAGTGATAGCAGGAACTGGAGTTGTGGATTTAGTTGGAGCTCATTTAGCCTGTTAGAAGTTTTGTTTTTAAGAGTTTTGTTGACTTAATTCACATACAATTCAACATTGAGTCACATCAAGAAGAGGTACACCGTTATCACCACAATCTGTTTTGGAACATTTTCTTCATTCAGACTTTTTTTTGTTTAATCGTTTTATTGGGGGCTCGTACAACTCGTACCACAGTCCTTAGATACATCAATTGAGTCAAGCACATTTGTACATTCATGCCCTCATCATTCTCAAAACATTTCCTCTCCACTTAAGCCCCTGGCATCAGGTCCTCATTTTTCCCCTCCCTCCCCGCGCCCCCCTCCCTCATGAACCCTTGATAATTTATAAATTATTATTTTGTCATATCTTACACTGCCCAGCGTCTCCTTTCATCCACTTTTCTGTTGTCCGTCCCCCAGGGAAGGGATTATATGTAGATCATTGTCATTGGTTCCCCATTTCCAACCCCTCCCTCCCTCCACCCTCCCGGTATTGCCACTCTCACCACTGGTCCTGAAGGGGCCATCCGCCCTGGATTTCCTGTGTTTCCGGTTCCTATCTGTACCAGTGTACATCCTCTGGTCTAGCCAGATTTGTAAGGTAGAATTGGGATCATGATAGTGGGGGAGGATGAGGCAGTTAGGAACTAGGGGAAAGTTGTATGTTTCATCGTTGCTACACTGCACCCTGACTGGCTCGTTTCCTCCCACGACCATTCAGACTTTTTAAACTTCAAAAGCACTCATAATCATTTTCTATCTAGATTGTGTTTCTACATATCTACAGGGTAGTTCCAACCTGAAGAACTCAACAGTCTTTATCTTTAAAAGGACAAGACTGCCTTCTCCCAGTGCTGAATGCAGAGGCCCACAACCATGTTCTCAGAAGCTGCCTTGAACACGGAGTCCTACCCGGCAGTGTTTGCCACTAAGGTCGCTTTAGGATAGACACAGAAAAGTAACGGTGTGGGAACTTTGCCAGTTTACATGCAGGGCTCACGTGCACTATCCTTGCGAGTGTTGGTTCATTTGCTGACTGCTGAGGGTGGTGACTGAGCATAAGCAGAAGGAAGGAGGGACAGAGCAAAGATGTGGAAAGCAGCAGCTAGCTTGTCCCCAGCCCTGGGCAGCCTGAAAGAGAAGCTATAGTGCTCCTTGTGACCGGGTCCTGAAGTGGGCATGCCTGTGGCAATTGGAGGAATTGGAGGAGGGAAGAGGGGCTTAGCGTTGACTATGATTAGGATCAACAATGCTCTCGAGCCCCAGCTGCAGGCACCCCTCAAGGAGGATGGCCTGGACGCAGGCGCTCAGGCCCTGCCAGCTCCCAGGGCACAGGCTTGGCTCAGGGCAGCGTCCTGGCAGTGCCACTGGCCTTGGGTGCGCCGGGGCAGGGAAGCAGTGCCACCAGCCAAGTAGCAGCTCCTTCCCAGAATAGTTGGACGGCATCTATTTACTGGTATTTCCGACCCGAAGGCCCCCTTAGAGTGGGAGAGACCGAGCAAACACCCCGCATCTCCTGGCCTCGCGTCTGCTAAGTCAATGCAGGACAGAGCATTCCAGAGTTGGCAGTAGCTCAGTGTCCTCGGCTCTTGGCTGTGGTTCAGGCAGGATAAAATGGCGCCTTCGGCAAGCCCCGTCGCTGGCTAGGGCCGGGCTGCTCCAGCAGAAGCCGCCCGGCCAGCCACCTTCCAGGCCAATGCCCCTGTGGCCTCACTTGTGTGACCTCGCTGTTAATTGTTTCGATCAGCTCTGCACCTTAAGGGAGCACTCACTTAACTGTAATAGCTTCTTCTCTAGATGATCACTGGTTGCACCCAGGCACCTTTCCTCCACCCAGCAGCTCCTGAACCTGTGTGCCTGATAACTCACATATAGGATGAGTAGGAGTCAGTTGAGTAATGCAATTTCAAACTCAGGACACTCATTCTAGGCAGCCGTGGCTCCGATGAGCGCAGCCCAGGACAGGCGTCTTTGCTGCTCAAAGGCAGATAGGGCCTGGGACGCTTCTCCTGCTGGCAAGTCAAGTGGCCAGGCAGCCCTACCCTTCCTCGGGGTTAGCATAGAGAGGTTCTCAGTGGTGGGAGCACCTAGACTTGGTTTGAATCATGTGTGGTATGTTGTTCAGTTGGTT